GACAGACTATTTTGCAGACTGTTCTGACTGACTCTAATGTTAGATTGAACAAACAAACTGTAATTTATACAATAACTTATCCATGCCTGTACACTTGGTATGTTCCTGCATAAACAGGAATAAATATATATATACTAGGTCTCCCTCACTTCTTTGGTAGCTTGACAAGGTGACCTCTCTTCCAATGTGTAGGCACCTAACCTTCTTTACAAACATGTTGCAATAATTGCGTGAGAATATCTGCGACAATCTCTGAATCTGTTTTCAGTTCTTCGGATGGAATTCTATGTGGTCCTGCTGCCTTCTCGGCTGGCCTTCAGTAGCTTGATCGCATTCAGGACTTCTGCGCTTTCGTTGGACGATCGGTGTACACAGGCAGGTAGTTCTGTGCGCGCTCTGAGTTGTTGTTGGTGTTTCTGGGTGAGTTTCAGGTGATTGTCAATTCAAGAGTCCTTTGAAGCGACCAACCCATTGTTTTGTTTGCTCCTCCCGCTTGACAATTAGCTTCCCTGGAGAATCTTTTACTGGTTTCATCGCCTGTGTTGATCTCTTCCCGGATAGCGAGCAGCCTGGTTATCTGAAATATTGTTCTGAGGTTTCTTTTACCTGCGGCCTGCCTGTTCTGCCTCAGTTGCCGGCCAGTGTGTCGTAGAATTGTCTTTTGTCTTTCCTAGCACTCTTCTTCACTTCTTTCTTTATTCAGTGCAGTGTACATTGGACTCAGCTTCTTCGTCTTCTGTTGTGCATCTTTGCATTGAGTCATCTTCTCTTCCATCAGCCTCCTCTCCTCTCTCATATTAGCTTCCAGGTAGGTGTCCGTTGAGAGCCATTCCTTGTCGTGTCCCTCCCTACTTCCTAGAACAGTTGTACACGTTTGCTTGGATATCAACTTCAGAGAGTTAGTTCCAATGTTCTTCCACACAGGTTTTCTCTGTGATGCGACTTAGTGTCTCTGCCACTGCTATGATGTGAACTGTAATGAAGGCATCCCTTGTAGTTTTGTCCTTCAGTTTCCGAGTGTTGAACTTGAATTACAGTGGTCTGTCTCCAGTTGTTTTGAGGGATTTCAGCTTCACCTTGAGTGTCCCTTGAACTAGATGGTGGTCTGAGTCGACATCTTCCCACTTCTCGACGTTGTGTCCATCAGGCAGACTGCGTCTCCACTTCGTTGAGCAGCATCATTGAGTTGAAGTCCGTATGGTTTTTGGTGTGTCCATCAGGCGAAATCCATGTCTCTGGTTTTGTGTATATCCTTATGCTTGTAGACGCTGCCTCCAATCACGAAATGATTGAAAGTGCAGAAGTCTGCGGAAATTTCTCAGTTGTCATTCACTTCGACGACGGAGAGCCTCTCGACCCATGATGAGTTCTCCTCCTGTATTATCTGCAGCCAGTTCTGCTGGCATTCATATCTTCCATAAGGATTTCGATGTCGCCATTCGGGATGTTGTCCCTTGCTTTTTGTAGTTGTCTGTCGAAATCTCTCTTCTTCTCCTATTGTTCCGCTTGGTTGTTTGTATCACTGTGCTTGGCATTGCATGGTAATTGTAACCTTCCTTCCTCCCTTCCCTACTTACTTCCTTTTGAGTTGAATCTTGCTGTCATGATCCTGCAGGAGGATATTGGTTCTCGTTGGATTAGGGCTTTGGCTGCCACTGGTGACTTCATGATAGCCACTCACTGCCTCAGTGTGCTCGTGGTTGTGATCTGTGTGACCAGACCGGAGTAGATTGCTGACTCTCCATTTGACAATTTGACAGTCCTCATCCATTCCAACTGCTCTCGCAGATACCCAGTACTTGCATGACATTTCTTCGCATTCCAAGCCAGTCTCGCACATTGTACGTGGATTCCACGTCCCATTCTTATTCTTGCTGTCATCTGTGGAAGACACATCGGCTGATTTGCTGGCTTCTAGAAGTCTAGTTTTCACCAGCTAGCTGGCAATTTGTTTTCGTATTTGCCTCATGCATTATCAGAATATTTACAGTGTTTTTTAAAACTGATGTTGTATTTGGAAATTCCCAAGCTTCCTTACGCTGGAAAGACATAAGGAAACGAAATTCTTGTTGCAGGATGCCTTAATGCAGTGATCAACATTCTTTTTTAATAATCATTCAAGCATATTCTTGTAATCCGAAGTCTGAGCAACACGCCGTTTACTGCCATGCGTCAGGAAGCCGGCCATCCATAGATACACAGAGTGCTCTGCAGATTCGTTTATACTGGATTTCAAAATGTTCTCACTTGAAAGACATCCTTGTCTAATAAAATAGGAGCTTTTTTGACACTTTAAAATATTCATTTTCGGCTGTCACTACTTTCACAATAAAAGCGCGAATGCTGAACAATTTTTGACCGAATCCCTGTAACCGGTTTCAGATTGTAGCCACGAGGGAGAAAGCTCAGAATGGAGACGCGACTCACTAGCCAATAATATATGACTAAGTCGGATAAACTCCATTTTTCTTATATCAACTCACCCAAATAAATATTCGTCAGGAACTAACTAATGACGACTTGAGCTTAACTCCCATTTTCACTTAGTGAAGGAAAGTAAAAATTCAAAATATTCTTAAATAATCAAATCTGCTACAGATTAATACTTGAACTACTGTGTACCATCCACTAATAACTGCCTATGCATCAGGTGGTTTGTCATATTAATGGATTCCTGGTGGATGATGACGTTTGGTGGGCTCCGACAAGTGGATTGTAGGGACTAACACTTCTTGAAAACATTAGTTGATGGTAACGCTGTCCGTCGCGAACCATGAGGAGTCAGAACTCACGGCATAAGGCTCCTATCGTTGCCAATAGATGGCTACTGATTTCACCTGATCAGCTGAAGGATCCGGATCCGATATCTGCTTGTGTCCTGATGAGGAGGGCTCAAGAACTTTTTGGTGCTGCCTTGTACCCAATGGTTCTCTGGCTGTGAAGGCTGTCCAGGTAGGCAAAGAAATGCAAAGATATGGCGTACAAGTGCTGGTATCTGCGAAGGCATATGGAATGGATGAAAACTGTTAAATTGTCAACTTGACAGTCAGTAATCTACCGTAGCCACCCAGACGATAGAGAATCTTTGAGTCAATGAATATATTATTACGCGTATATGTGTGGACATTATGAATTGTAATAATTTTGGATGCAAGTCATCTCCCTGACAATGATAAATGGGTTTTCCGATTACATTCTAGCACTGTAACTATACATTTACAAACATGTCTGCATTTAGCTGAAGAATAGTGGTCTTCCTCTGTTGCTTTATTTCTCCATATAGTAATTTAGTGCGTGAAGAGATACCCTAAAATAAATTCAAACTTCACACCGACACGTGGATCAGGTGCAAATAAACAGACTTAATGAAAATAATGAGGATAAAACATCTAGATTTATCCAGCACTTGCAATGCTCCATTGCAGGATCAATTACATAATTTATGTATCTCTTACCTTAACATATCAGGGAGAGACCGGTCCAAAATTACTCGGACTAAGTAGTACTTAACTTCCTCAAATTAAAAGTCACAGTTTACCTGATTCAAAATATTCTTAAACTTTTCTACTAAAGTTTCGGCCTCTACCAGTGGAAGATCCAAGCTGAATGAAGACTCCAAAAGTTTCCTCTAAAGTCTTCGCGTGATTTTCAAATAGCTTCATCCAAATCCAACACTTTCATCGAGAGTTTGCTCCAGTCGATGGTTTTCTTTTTATAATTCACGTTCCCCAATGGAACATAGGGCTTAAAGCTAATGGCTTGAAGTTTCTGTAGCAGTGTTTATTTTACAGGATGGGGTTGCTAGCCCTATGCCCGACCTTTTCTCTCCACCAGCATTATTTCTGGCTTAGCGACGTAAAGGAGTGCGTCGACCGGGGATCCGACCCCGGACCAACCACAGTCGATGGTTGATGGGACCTAATCAGTGATCTCACGACATTTTTCATCCGTTAATCATTAAATACACAATCCTGAAACCATGTAGTGGATTGAAATTGGCCAAAAATGTTTCTTTGCAAACGTCTTATTCGGAAATCAAGCGCTCTTTAGGTCACAGCATTTTGGCTTCCTCTAAAGTTGAGAAATTTTCATTATAAGCTGATAGTTCCGAAGAATAAGAAATCTACACATTAATAAACATTCTAAGTGGTAACCGCCTGTGTTAGTGCAAAATCCTTTACATCTGTGTGAAGTTTGCTGAAGTAGAATTTACCATCGCGAAAAGAAACTGATCTAGAATTACAAGTAGAACAAGTGAAATAATACTTGGGTTAATTCCAAGTGAGAATAGTGATGGTTACATCTGACGTAATCAAAGAATAGTATACCAACTAGATAAACAAAATGGAAAGTAGGTAGAGCGGAAACATAACAAGGGATTACAGTACTTTAAAATGAAGGGATTAGGACCATAAAAGTTGGCGGGGTTGAACGAGATTTTTTCTGTATACAGAGATCTGGCTTTTCTGTTTCGATAGTTAAGTCTTCTGCAGCAAAGATGAGTCAGGCAAATTAATTTTTATTTTATTTTTTATTTTTTGATTTACAGCTTGATTCCACACCGTATTTTCAGTACAAGTATGGAATTTTCAGCATGGATATCGGTAGCTCAAATTCAGGCCGACCATAGATATCGGGTGTGCGCCGGCAGGGGATCGAACCCCGGACCATGTGCATGGTCGGCGAGAGTCCTAACCACTGTGCCACCGACGCCTTGTAGACGTCTTTAAAGGCGAAGGCTGTAGAAACAGGGTGACGCCTATCTACCAGATGTTCAGTGATTGCGCTCCCAAATTTAGGGGAACCAAATTCTTATTTTCTGCAGAATGATTTTTTCAGTACTACAACGTTATTGCCACATCATCATATTGACAAAGTTCTCAAAGTCTTGGACGAAAATTTAAGGTGTATTTATAAATAAACCTTAAATTTTAAAAGGTCAGTCCGAATAAGCTTTGATATATATATACTTACATATTGCTTGGAGTCTGAAATTACGGCGGAAATTCCTCACGTGCGTTACATTAAGTTGACGTTGGTGATATCCGGTTCAGAATTATGGGAACGCAAGGGGGTAATTAGAAAATTCCCACTGACTTTTAGTTTAGATGAACGTCCATTGGAATATTATGCGGAAGAAGTGAGGAAAAGACAAGAGTTAGAAAAGGAGAAAGAAGAAGAGGATAGGTTTCTGCGAACTTCACTTCGTGCGTCCAATCGTTTGCAAGCCATAGAAAAATACAGGAGGGTTATTCAGAAGGAAGAAACTAAAAGGGCCGAAATAAATCATGCGTTTGAAGGGGATTCTCTCTCGGAAAACAACACAGGTTTGTTTAGTTTCTAACATCCCAAGCATTATAATAATAATTATAATGCTGTATTAAATCTCACTAATTCTGAAATAATTCTAACATTCTATAGTGAGTAAATTCCAAATCTGTTCTGAAATGGTTTCTTTAATGGCACAGACTAGAACTCAGTGCTGGCTTTCAGCATGACTGGCACTAACTCAGCACCCTGTTCTTTTTCTAGGTATTTTCATAAGTAGACTAGAACCAACTGGATTTACTTATCAGAGTTGTTCCAGCCCTCACAGGACATATTAAGCACTGAATAGCGTTACTTCGGAACGAAAAGACTTAATTCAGCACTCACCTCTCTTTTTAAGCATAACCAGCGTTATTTCAAAATTAAGTGAGTAGATAAAATTTTCATTTATCATAAAAAGGCATTATCAAAGAATAAGTTAGAATAAGTTTATAATTGTTGTGAGCTTGTGATATGTCTTACTATTTACTATCTCTCATTATTTTCTAAGTCCGTCCACGGAAACCTTATTTATTTAATTTGTCATAAATTCTTTGAATTTGAGTCAAAACGACAATTATATGTAGGGTATTAAGTGTTGTGATAACTAATATGTTTGTTCTTAGTTTCATTTAAATTTTCTAATCGTTTTAGGGAAAATTTTCTTCGAAATTCGAATAGAATATCTAAGAAAAGTCCAAGCTTTCAATATTTTTAAACTAATTCTAACCTATGCGTTGATAATGCCTTTATGTGGTTAGTGAATATTTTATCTGCCTAAAATGAACCCACTATTCACTAAAATAACGCTGGTTGTTCCTAAAAAGAGCACTGGACGCTTCATTAATTCGACAAACCTGTAAAAATAGGATTTGCAGCTGAAATAATGCCTTTAGTGCTGAAATAAAGCTGAAAAATTGCCATTATGTGCTGAATTAAATCTTTTTGTTCTGAAATAATGCTAGTCATCGCTGAATATGGGCTCAGAGGGCTAAAATAACGCTGATTAGCAAATCCAGGAGGTTCTGAGCTGCTTCTGAAAATACCTAGAAAATGCGCAGTGTGCTAAATCAGTGCCAGTCATGCTGAAAACCAGCACTGAGTTCTGGTAAGTGCGGAAAATCAAGCCATTTCAGAACAGTTTAAGAAGTTATTCATTATAGGATGATAGAGTTAGTGCAGAACTAGCGAGATTTAATTTGTCATTGTAGTAAGTTTGGGTCATTTTCTCGAACATCCCAGAATCTTTCGAGAGTTCTATTTAATGACTTTTCACCGGTTCTTATTTATAAGAATTAAGCTGAAGAGTAACAGCATAAAAACACATTGCCTTCCTGAAGACATTTTACTGGTGTATCTTCATCTGATGTTGTGTTTCTTCAAATACTCCATGGCCAATTTGTTCAAAGAAATTTCCATTCTAACTTTTGATTTATTTCCGTTGATCAGTAAACGCAATGTACGTATACGAGTAAACCTGTGCCCTTTCCATTTTTACTTCTTTTGATAAATATGCTGGAAAACAGCACCCAAACTTGTCGACAAGGAAAGAAAAGAATTGTATCTACAGCTCAATGGTAGTCTATCATGTAAACTCAGAGAAATGGTGCATCTTTGACAAGTTTCTTGAAATTTGTGACATAAAGCTAATTTGGAATCCAATCCTCGATGCAAAATAAAACAAATTTAAGTTAGTTGATTGATAGTGTAAAGCCCGTAGGGACCTCTGGGTCTTCTCGTTGAAATCCCCAAAAGTGCTTAAAATCTGTAGTTGTAGAACATTTCGTCATGGCTTGAAATCATTTACACAGATATTCAATCCCCACATCTTCCAAGTTTTAAACATTCTGTTTGAGTTTTTTCTAGATTATCTTTTCGCATAGACATCTTTTTTCATTGCAGTGTCATTATTTTTATTCTTATTTTTCGCACCATTCTGAAGTGTAGCAATTTTTTTCAAAGCAAGGGTACTGAAAGTTATAATTGATTCATCAGTTAGCTGAAATTTTGTAAACAAAAAATGCTTTGAGAAATATTTCCAGCAATTTTATTGATAATTCAGGTATGATAGAATTGTAAATATTGAACCTTTGCAAAATTTTCTTTAAAGCATCTATTTCTCCTCCTTTTTCATCAGCAGTGCTTAAAAAATCAGTAATAATATCTGAACATCACTGACGCTAATATCCGAAAATTCGTGATATGACCAAAAGCCTTTGTCGAATCAACTACACCTTATTTCAGAAAGTTTTCCATAGTATGGAAATCTCCCTGGAATTAAACTGGTATTTACTGAAAAGCATAGGGATTTTATATCACCAAATTCAACAAGTTAACAACATTCACGTGGAATCCTACCATTCTTGCAATTCTATTTTCTACTCTAGTTCGGAATGCCATCATGAATTGATGACGTTCTATACCTGCCCTGGTTCCACACATAAAGCCGATGCGATGGGGATTTATTCAAAATATGACCTCACTATCTAGTATAGTTTCCTTTCAAACTGCACGTTTAATGATAGACGTGTAATGAAGCTAACTAGAATAAATAACAATCTACTAATAATTTAATTTTGTTGAAAACGTTTGTGGGTGAAAATCCATTTGTATTAGTACCAGCAGATTATTTTTATCACATGACCGACAGCTCACCTTTTATTTAAATACAGTCGTCATACCGACACCTACTCATCGATGCAGCTGATTTAAGTCTTCAGGCTGAAAGATGAACGATTGAGAATTAAGGTAGGCCTTCCTGCAGACAACTGTTCAGAGGTTTTCGGCTTTCCCATCTAAAGAATAAGCTACAGTTCTGATTGGTAATCCCCTACTTATTGTCAATTCTTCGCATTTTGAATCCACATTATTTTAATCGGCAGAAGGCCTATTTTTAATTCAACTTTAACTCTGACCCTAGGCATCAGAAGACTACTCTTGCTAAATTAAAAGTGTGCATTTGATGATATTAGGTAATAAAGTTGTTGAATTACAAATAGATCATTATTCTTAAGAACAGTTATTTCAAATTAAAACTTTTAACAGTAGTTCTAAGCAGTTTTCTCACTGAGAAGTGTTGTCCTCTGAAGTTCACAAGAATTTTCGGAAAAACTTATTTTTTCCCCTCGTTTTATCAATACTGGTATTATCTTTTAAATTTTAGAGCTGACTGAGCTTTTGTGCTACCTTCGAACTAAAATGCCTGTTTACAGGGAAGAAAAAGAAAATAAACGCCAGTCAATGGATAATAAGCTGATATCAAATGAAATTGGGCTAGACTCCGAAGCTGAACAATGGGAATGGCTCCTGAGCGTTCTATCAAACCCGAATTTATCGGCTGCATTTCTGATGCATGACAAAGTAGCTAAGGCCTATGAGACTTGTAAGAGTGTCATGCATCCAAAACCAAGATATCGTTGGCCCGTCTTAGCTGGGCTTGCATATGACACTATGGAAGCTGTTAAAGAACAGTTGATGGTCACTCTACGAAATCCAGGTCAACTTGATACCTTCACCTTAAACAGTATTTCTGCTCTTATCAATCTGTGTACGTCTCCAGTATTCCAGGTAGGCATATTCATTATGTAACTTCTGCATCTGGGATGTTTTAACTCTTTTTTTATTAACATCTCCAGAGTTGTTGTCACTGCTTAGCGCTTGTTGCGATTGTATATGTAAAAGAATAATTTTGTGGGTTGTCGGTTGTTGATAACTTTTAGTATTTAATCTAGAAACATGTCATGTCATATATATATATATATATAGCTTTTTGAAGATAGGTTGAGCCTGTACAATCATTAAAAAGCAGCATAGCAACTAGTATATGTATCATATTGTTTAAAAGTTCATTTCGTTCTTCTGGGACAATAATTAACTTTTAATGAGGACTACACTGTTTCACAAAAGTGATACAATCGAATCCAATCCAATTACCTAATAATATCTTAGAATTACATCAGCGTGTACTTTTATAGACCTACTAATCATTATACACATCCTTGTTTGCACTTGAAATGAAAAAATCAGCTTAAACAGAAAATATTTGGAATAAGATTATAAGTTTCCAGACCGTAGATGTTACGAACTTCCTGGAATAATTTGAGCACCGAGTCAGACTGATTCATTATAAATTATTTAAATTAACCCCAGCGTGTTTAAGAAAAAATCGGAAAAATCCTGTTTTGATTTTCTCTTGAACACGCTGTGATTAATTTAAATAACTTTTAATAGTTGAAATAATTTAGAAATTTACTCGTGTTGCCGGAGTTTCCATCGACTTTTTGAAAGGAGGTTCACGAAGAACAAGATGCGGACATGAGGGTAATGGGATCATAAGATGTCGAGGACAAAATGAATTCAGACTTATGAAGGCCCAGGAATATTCAGGTTTGAAAGATTTTTTCGAAAATAAACATGAATTTTACTGCGGTTGACTATGATTCAAAATTTGTTCAACTGAGCGGAGTTAGATAAATTCTAATGATGGTTTGATGTTACTCATTTACAAACATCTAAGTAAGAGCTATAATAATTAAGTAGAATCACTATTCATATTTTTAACAGTATTTATAAGACAGAACATAGGAGTGCTTATTAGTACTTACCTCCTTGGTTCTTATCACAGATCGTATTTGACTATTGATTTCCAATGGTTTAAATATTTTTAGGTGATACAACGAAAGTGACTACACTGTAATACAATAGATAGGAAAAACGTAAATTCCTCCTTACTCTTTATGTAGATCGCTCACCAAGCGTAGGAATTATGTTCTTGACAAACGTTAAGGCGTGCTCAGTGTAAGTTATAATGCTTTAGTTTTCCTTATCCACACCTGCTTAAATGTTATTTCATCTTTGAAAGATAGGCAAACCAATCAATTGTCTCAATTTAAATACTAAAGCAAATTCGCTGGTAGAGACTGGTTTTGAAATAAATATTGACAAAATTTTGTCTTTCTGCCTTCGTCACCTGTTAATGTTTACTTCGGATCGAAGGGTTCTCACGGGTTTAAAAGTACTGGTACTTCTTGAAAACCTATTTAACTACTGGTATCCACGTTTCATAGATTCTGTGGAAATAAATTCACTTCCAACGGTATATGTATCAATCCCTTTACTAAGTGAGTGTTTCCACTGTGCTAAGTTTGTGTATCCATTCAGTGGGATCAGCGTTTTTGAATTTCTGATTATCGATGGAATTGAGTATTCCATATTAGCTTGTTTATTAGGTATATCACACAGTGAAACAGTATTATTTACTGGATGACATTTTGAGCAAAATTTATTGTTCATAATCATATCAATTGTGATCACACGACTTTGACACTTGAGTATTACTTTGATTTTTTGTTACTATTGGGGATGTCTTAAGGAAAATTGTGGTTGGCCAGCTTATAAGCACGATTTTCAGTGCTCTGAACAGTTGCTTTTGAGGGTTTATTTATCTAGGCATTCCGGAACTTGAATTGTGTGGCTCCAAGATTATTTTGTTACCTTTCGATCCTGTGAATTTGTTGACATACTTTTCGCTGTACTAAATGCTGAAAATTCCACATTGTATCAAAAGTACTGTTTGGAATGAAGCCTTTATTATTAGTAGTACTATCTTGCCTACAAGCAATATCCACACACTTATCAAGTCCAACAATCTACACCTGGTTTTGTTATCTTTACCAGTTGGCCAATTTGACAACGGAAAAATGACCCGATGCTGAGGAACGATGATTAAATTGTTATTTATAAGCTGAGATTTTGTAAATTCTGGCTTAATAATACTTTGATAAAGCTATTAGCAGCATTAAATAGAGAAACGTCAGTAAAAACAACAATATCGGTTTGTTTTTCATTCATTGGGAAATGCGGAAAAAACCCTTACAATATCCAAACAGTTAAACTTTAACTTGCTTTAGGCATAATTCCGGGACAGTTTTTCAGGTAGGCACCGATAGTATAACCAAATGCCCATAATGAAGTAATACCATAAAACCGAACCGAAATGAAATCGTTTTTTCTCAGAAGTACGTTTAGTCAGTCACTGAAATTATTTTCTGGTGGATATTAATGGGGGCTGAATTTTTCAATCCTTTTCTTCATTACCGCATACAAGGAAAGAATTATTCTAAAATCCCATGGGCTATTGTAATGATTTACTTAATCCCTTCATGAGTTGAGAAAAGATAAATTCGCGACTGTTCATAGTTTCACTCACTAAGTATTGAGTTGGATGCATTGTGAAGAGTAGTTTTCGAGCTCAGGAACTCTGACTGAGGTGGAACTAGGGTGGTTGGATATGTCAGCTAGTGTACGAAAGTATTACAATCTGCATTTTAACATCTTTTATGATGGTAACTTACTTATCCGCTACTTTTGATGTTTTTATGATACGGTATAACATAGTAGTGATTCTGTACATATACTACGATTGTGGTTGACTTGCCTTAACTTTTTTACTGTCAGTAATCCTTGCTTCTACTTGATCTGGTTCTGTTTGAGCACTTATTTAATTCTTTTCATTGTTACGCAGTAATACTGGCTGTTAATTTTATAAAGCTGTACACTAGTCTGCTGTTTCACTGCATCTTCATATATTTTTGCATTTATTTTAATTCACTGTTTTTATTTTCATAGAACTTATTACTGGCTATGGATGGACTTGCGAACACGTGGCTTTTCGATGCTGATGAAGAATTTATTGAATCTGATAATCTTGAATTATCAGAAGATAATAACGAAAATTCGCTGTCCAATTCATACATTCAAAAAAGTTCTGTTCCAGGATGTTATGCCACTTTGGCGTATGATGATCAAGGTCGTGATTCTTACTCGGAAAGTGGAGTTCGTCTGAAATACGTGATTCTTCAAAAAAGTGGTAATGAGTTTTTGGTAAGTTGAAGAAGAACACACCATTAATGCTGGGATACATCCACCTTTAAATTTGAAAGCTTCATTAACAGAATTCATTCAGGAATAAGGAACAAATGAGTGACGTGAAATCTGATTTTTGATGAACCAAATCTTCTTCAGGGACTGCAGATATACCCAATATACACAATCCCTAGGTTAACTAGATGCTGTTTAGTGAATCCATATACAAAATGCACATCAGTGTAATGGAAGACACTAGGAAAGCAGTCTATGAAATTTGACCATCACTAACTGTTTATTAAGTACACCAGTCATCAGTAGGTAACCTGTTTGCCTACGTTCCGATGCCCTTGAATCAACAATATAGATATTTTAGGAACTGGAAAACAAGTCGGATATATGATAAAGTCCTTACCTCCACTAACCTCTAGCTCATATTCCAAACTTATTCATGGTTACTTTAATATGTGACAGTGTTGAATGTAGATTGAGCAGGAGATTTGCAGAAATCTCTTCCGAATTACCAGTAGTTCCATAAGCACATATCTTTCGTAATCATATTTTAATTCATTTGCACGGAAATTTAAGCGACTGTTAATCTGAGAAAACACTGTAAGATCCCATTATCTAAGTGATAAACGGTAGCATTTTGCTTCGATTTTTATCATATATCATCTACTTAAAGTAGTTGAGTAACTGAAGTATTTTGAAAAAGTTCACATGATTCGGATTACATGGTGATATACGTAAAAAGAGATCAGCACTGTTCGTGCGATATTTACTGCTAGCTGGTCCATACATTTATCGACTACTCACGTTGCATGACAATTCTCGTAGGTATTACTTCTCACTTTTAGCCTGAAATATACATATTTTTCTAAGAATTTCTACTGAAAGAACAACAGTTCTGACAATTTTCATTGGACACTAGTAACTAGTGTGACGTGTCTCATCCTTTCTTTGGTGCAGACTGAAGTCTATCAGTCAGGTTTGTAATGTAGCCACCATTCTAGGTAGCTCACCATCACGGTGCACACATTGATTTGATGATATTGGATAGTTGGAGTTGATTAGTTATAAAATAGAGCCTGTTATCTGAAGAAGTTAAAAAGTTTGCCTTAGTTTGTATTAGTCTTCGATTTACTCTTGGCCTATTCGTACTTTTTTCAGAATGCATTAATACGAGTGTTTCCACGTAATCCTAGAGCAATAAGAACTGACCCACTAGAGGAGTAGTATCTCAGTAGCTTCCAGTGGACACATATGCTTAAAGCATTGCTCATGTTTATTTTTAATCCAATTTTCCTGTATTCTTGTTGTTTTATTCCTGTTTACGTCCTCTTTCCAAGCTACTGCAAAGTATGGCCGTTTGAAATGATATATTTTTGTTCTAGGCTATTTGCGAGGATCTCTGTCGTTGTTCAATTTTCAACGATGGTTAAATACAATTGAGTTTATTTTGCCTCTAATTCTTGATTTATACTGACTAAAATGGCATACTTATGAGTCGGTGGCACAGCGGTTAGGACACTTGCCGACCATGTACATGGTCCGGGGTTCGATCCCCGGCCGACGAACTCCTTTACCTCACTCAGCCAGAAATAATGCTGGTGAAGAGGAAGGTTGGGCAGGAGGCTAGCAACCTCATCCTGTAAAAATAAACAATGCTACAGAAACTTCAAGCCTCTAGCTTGAACCCCTATGTTCCACCGGGAACGTGAAGGAAAAAAATGGCATACTTAGACTTACTATTTTATATGATTTTCCGCACTGAAAATAATTATTAGTAGTGTTTGCTACAAAATGTTTGTATACCTAATAAATTGCTTTCTTATCATATTTGACTAAAGTGAGTTTCTATTTTGATTAAAAAAACAAACATTTTAGGGTGCCACGGTGCGTTTAGAAAGGAGTTCAGTACTAATTGCTCGAATTGTTAATGGTGGATTAGCCCACAAAACTAGTAAGTGGTATGTTTACATAAAACGTTTATTTCATTAGTGTTACAATAGTTATTTTTATTAAGACCAAAACAATTATAGAATAAAACGTTTTCAGGGCTACTTTTGACTCAATAAATTTTCGTGATACCTAGATACTGTTATTATTGTCCATAAATTGAATGTCTGAAATACATTTAGTGTTAGCAAAACTCTTGACAGATAAATATTTCAATGTGAGCTAAGACTTTGATTGTGCGTCGGTGGCATAGCGGTTAGGATGCTCGCCGACCATGCACATGGGCCGGGGTTCGAACCCCGGCCGACGCACTCCTTTACCTCGCTAAACCAGAAATAATGCTGGTAAAGAGGAAAGATTGGGCATGAGGCTAGCAACCCCATCCTGTAAAATAAACACTGCTACAGAAACTCCAACCCTCTAGCTTGAAGCCCTATGTTCCACTGGGGAACGTGAAGGATAAAAAAGACTTTGATTAATTGTAAGGTTTGGACTATTTTGGAACTACTTCCAATCATGAATTGAAAGTCACTGCAATTATTAAAAAGACGGTTGCAGAGAGGAAAATTTTCTTTTCGACGAAGAAGTCATCAACTAGGCTGTAAATTCGTGTATTTATAATTAATGGGTAGGAAAGTTCCCGAATAATTTCTGATTAAGGGTCAAATTAATAAAATTACAATTAGGAATTAAAATTGAAAGTCGGTCTGAACGAAAAGTATTATTTTCAATGAATTTGCTTCAGGTTCTTTCAGTTGTAAAATAATTTATTTATCATTAAAATAATAGCCAGTTGTGCGGTGATCACATAACAATAACAAGTAATTTATAAAAATGAATCATGATACGATGATTACTGAAGTTAGTGTGAAAACCTGAGTGGCTGCGAAACTTAAATCCGAAGTTTATAAGGAACCAATCTGATATTCTACCGGTCGCACATTGAGTCACACAGCATTCTGAAATTACCTTGTCGAATCAAAACCATTTTAGATAGGCTCATGCATATTCATCATCATATAGACAAATCAAATAGTACTAAGTAAATAATGTTTATCATTTGCTACTAACATAAACGCATTTCTGATTTTATTAATACACAGGCTTGTGATTTACAATTTTGTAATTAGTATTTTAGCATTCGAAATAAAAGACAAATTACTGTTTGAAAGCTGTGTTGCTTTATACAGTTTTCACTTGCTGACCTTAACTGATAAGTGCATTCACTTTAAAGAGAAGACATTCAGCGAAAGAGACTCTTTTCGGCGAATTCATTCACATACCTGTACAATCGCATTTATATATAATTATTTGTGTGTGTGTACATGAGGTTTTTCAAGTTTAGATAATTGATTAGTTAATGCAAGAATGATGTAGTATAGAGACAAAGTTAATCAGACAGCAACTAAAGTAAGATTGAGTTAGTAAGCTAGATGACGTAATATAATTGACTAAAGTGTTACAACTTAGGTCAGGATAGCAACCTCATGTACACACACACACACACAAATAATTATATATAAATGCGATTGTACAGCTATGTGAATGAATTCTCCAAAAAGAGTCTCTTCGCTGAATGTCTTCTCTTTTTCATATGACTCAATGGGGATTTTCAATCCATTCACTTTAAATCAGTATTCACTGGTACACATGTGCATAAAGTCTGCTGAAGCAAGTAATTTCGATATGCACTGAATGGCAACTGCGAGGTTGATTTGATTCGATTACCAATTTGCTGCCGTTTTAACAAAGCTGTGTCGTATGCGAAATTTCAGCTTACTTGCATCTATTGAATATCTTATACAGGTTTTGGTTAGAAGTAACATTTATTTCTCTTCTTTATACTGTATCATCTATCAATCTGTTTAAGTGTGGTGTTATAATCACGTAACTGGATCATAATGTTAACGTACTTAGAGTGTTAGGAGGAAGGTTGTTGTCATAAATCTGAGAGACAGTGAAGATACTCGCATTCCTCGAGTTGTTTAGAAAACGGTGCTGTCTTTTCAAGTAATGCTTTTGTAGCGACTTTGTTTGATTGGCTGGAGTATTTCATCACTAGCTGACATCAAGTTAGAATTCATGGGCTGGTCACTGGATCGGATCCTAGTGGCTTAATGGTCTACAAGCTCACCTTGTAACCAGAAAGTCCTGGGTTGGAACCTCTGTGGTGGGTGCGTACTGTTGAAGAGCCCCAAACTAGGACGAAACACATGTCCAGTGCTCTCAGGTTTTCCAATGGTTCTCTAACTGATATCAGCTCATGATGAAATCCTTCAACCAATCAAAACGATACTGTGTTTTGCCAAGGTTTTTGAAACTGCTGGATGGAAACTCAGCTTGACACGAATCAAAACTGCAATCTCCCCTCATCTCATGTTCCTATTCATTTTAGTGTCATTTTATTTCTTTTGTTTATCGTTTTTGTATTGTTGCAAGCTAAAGCAATTTGCACTGTTACACGTCTGTGTGTAATTCTACTTTGACTCATAAGAGCAATCGAATGGCAATTAGTTGGAATATAATAATAGAAACCATACTTGTATTTTAATAGTTTATACACAATAATAAGTTTTTTTGTTTTTGTTAATATTTTGAGCAAAATTACTACCAGTGATCTCATCAAATTTTGGAGTTGTTTTGTTTTTAATTAAAAAAAGTAATTTTGCTCGAAATATTACCAAAAACAAAAAAATTTATCATTGTGCGTAAACTATTGAAATACAATTATAATTTATTCGATCTATTCCACAATGCTCAAACTTTTTACTGACATTAATATAATAAGATAATATAATTTTAAAATCCATCTAAGAATGATTGTTGGAGCTAAAATAAGAATTAATTAATGGCAGAATTCTTACAAGAATAATAACAATAATGGTTTGAATGTTAGACAATTACAGTCATTATTGATTTTTTAAAAAATTAGCTCTTGATTATTTCTCAATTCTTGAGACTATGTAGGTTTAATTCTGATAACTGAGATATATACACTTGTTGTTTCCAGACGAGTAATAGGGGATATCTGTAATACTGACGTTTTTCTTGTAAGATACAGAACTGATGTTCTACACTTTCATTAATTTAAAGTTTTCCCACCAGTAGCACTAACAGTTGTTACCCGTCTACATGTGGTTATTGTAATATGTCAGAACTTAACTGTTTGCTGGAGATTGTATTGACTAGGTGTGTTTATAACAGTGCTGCTAATGTAGATGCAGTTTGTTGTTCTATAACCTCTAGTCAATCCAGTTAGTCAGTCGACAAGAAACAAGGGGGAAGAAATGTGAGATCACGAATATGTTGGTGAAACAACCTATCGTAATACACATGTACATGACAACCTAAATACGGAAACTAATTATATCGTTAATAGTGAGAATGAGATAAATAGCCAATTATATCAATATTCTTGATGCTTAAGATGTTTTAAAGCTTATGCTATTACTAATTATGTTGTTTAAAATGACAATATTGAAATCGCAATCAAGTTAAACCTGAAGTACTTGACATCTTATGTTCAATAAGGGCTAGCAGTGGAATCCAGGATGTTTGTTACTCCCTAATTAGGAGTTGGTGAATGATGAAGGAACACAACTCTAGCACCAAATGTTTTTCAGAAATCAAGTAGCACTACTACGTTAGATTGTGTAGAATTCATTAAAAAATAAGTAATTATTAGAAGGAAAGTTCAATGTGTTAGTCAGCCTGATGAAATGTATGACTGATCTTAAATTTGCTCGCAGGTTGCCCAACAAAATCCACTAAGTTATCACATGCCAAAATTTTATCATTCTTATATTATGCATCGTATTCAGGTCGTGGGATTAAGATATCTCTTATCATTATGATTAGTTTGAAAAACTGTAACCATATTAGATTTTACGGTCGGCTGATTTAAAGTTGTTTTATTGACCATCCCTGCAAAACCAATACTTGAAAATTGATCTGATGCTCACTAGCGACTGGCCCTATTCAGGCAGTGACCTGGGCTTCTAGGGAAAAGCCGTGACCAGTAGGGTACAACAGATTTATTTTATTTTTTTAAATATTTTTGATTACAGCTTGATTCCATACCGTATTTTCGGTACAGGTATGGAATTTTCAGCATGTGGTATCGGTAGCCCAAATTTTGCAGGCCGACCATAGATATCAGGTGTGCGCCGGCAGGGGATCAAACCCCGGACCATGTGCATGATCGGCGAGAGTCATAAACGCTGTGCCACCGATGCAGTAGCTGATCGAAGAAGACATTGCGAAGTGGTCACGCTATGTCATGAATTGGCAGAAGTTAGAATTCATGGGCCATTAAATCAGGTCCCAGTGGCTTAAAATGGTCTACGAGCTTGCTGGCGTTGTAACCAAGAAGGTGGTGGGTTTGAACCCTGGCGGTGGGTGCGTACTGATGAAGAGTTCTGAGCTAAAGTGAAACAACTGTCCAGTACTCTCTGCAGGTTTTCCAATGATTCTCTAACTGATGTCAGCTAATGATGAAATCCTCCAACCCCGCGATAATGTTTATCCTAACCGAAGAAAAGAGGTGAAATAAAAAATGAGCCCCTCTAACTCTGCATATATATATATATATGTATTCGTTGTTGCTTTGTCCAAATTAATCATGGGAACCGGGTGTATGACATTGTGGTTGTTATTATACTGGACAAGGAAAGTTGTGTATTTCAAATACTTGATTTTTAGTCAATGTACTCAAAAATATTAGTTTCTATGCTACTCTCTAAGGGTCTTGAGCTGCACGCCAAGTAGTTTGCGATGTCAAGTGATTAATAGTTCCCGAGTAGAATGAAAACTTTTCATTCGATGATTCTTAATATACAACATCCATTTAGAGAAAGGTGTCAGAAATAATAATATTTGTTTTCAGTCAATTTTTTCATGAGAAGTTCACAAATTCATTTACTATGGGTACTTTTCTATCAAACTTTCGAAATTCCTAGGAAATCTCTTTCATGATATGTTAGAAAGACAGATAATGCATTTTTTGTAACAGAAGTTTTACTGTCATTAATGCTAATGTTTAATATTTCTGCTACTTCAAAATTAGATCTTTTGCATGAAGGCGATGAACTGTTATCTGTCAACGGCATTGAACTTATGGGTAAAGATTTGAATACAGTGTGTGATATCATGGTAAGTCAGCTTATGCTTTTACTCTAATGAGCTGATCTACTATTATTGATCCACCTAGTTGACTTTTATTTATGAGTTAGACAACTTATGGTAATATTTAATCCTATATTCTAAAATTCACTGTGACTAGTTACGTGTCTAAGGCAGGATAATCGACTGTACTTCATAACGTGTTAATAACTAGAATCTTCTCTTGAACTTATACACTCCGTTAATCTATGACAGGTTTCTAGCATTGCCAGTAACGAATAAGCTGTACTAACTGTAAAGCTGATAATTTCACAATATCCGATTTGCACTAACTTGAAGGTTTGAAGAGAAATAGCTGATAGTATCAAACAACATTCAGAAATGTCCAAATTAATATACGAACCAGTAATTACTTTACAAAAATGTTTACATATTTAGTGTGGATAATTGTTCACATAAATGAAGCATTTGATGCCGTCAATTTTTCGAACGGCCATTCCTTATTTTAACTGTACGGTGTTTGTCAGGATTTGGACCATTTACTGCTATCGTAGAAATTGTCGTTTGGCTATTCAGCTATGAAGCCATGCTAAGTTTGGAATAACTGGAAAATGATTTATATTATTAGATTGAAAATTAGGGTTATTTCCTAAAACCGTAAGGCTTCCTGAAGATGAGATACGATTTCTTGCGTTTTCCAGTCACACAGTCATCACTGCTCAGCTTTGTCAAAAGGAAAGTTAAACCTACTTGGCTTCCTTTTCTTTTCGGTCTCTTCTGGTTTGCTAATGACTAGATCAGAGATCCGTAATGCATATAGAATACTGAGTGTTTTAATAGCATCCTTATTTCGTAATATGCCAGTTCCAAGTTTGCTAGATTGTAGGTTTTTGAGTTCACAGTGCTACGAGTCCAAAACCAGTACGGAATCGTGGCTAGTGCTGTTTGGTCTCGTGTAGTTCCCCCAGGTAATGTTGGTTTGTCATGAAATCTGTTCTTTTAGTCATTACTATTTTTAAATCACGAAAAATACCCATTTATTCATAAGTAAAAACACAGTTTTTGTTCAGCGAAGAAATTTCTTTTCAACGACTTCATTTTCAAGCCGTACAGTCGTAGTTATATTACAGAAAAGGTCATTAAGTGGCACTAAATAATTGCTCAGTCAATATACATATATGTGATAAGAATAACGATTATTAAAATGTTATAATTTTGTAATTTATCCACTTCAACTCTACCCCTTATAACATTTTAATAATCGTTATTCTTATCACATATATGTATATTGACTGAGCAATTATTTAGTGCCACTTAATGACCTTTTCTGTAATATAACTACGACTGTACAGCTTGAAAATGAAGTCGTTGAAAAGAAATTTCTTCGCTGAACAAAAACTGTGTTATTACTATTTTTCTTACAAAGTTTTTTTAAAAATTATTTTCTCCTAAAGGCTTCATTACATGGGAAGATTGTTCTTTTGATTGCACCTGGACTTGATCCTTATTCGCAAGCATCAACAAAAGGGATCGTAAGTAATTAGTTAACCTTATGGTTCATTATTGTAAACAATACAATTACTAATTGATAATATGTTACATGTTACTCATTTAAGGGATAGTTAAACAGAATACTTAGTGTTTGACGTCGAATTACTATCTCTTAAAAAGTCATTTTCTGTTCAGCGTTATATATGTCTACGGGTTACTAACCCTATGATTCTATGATACTTTTAAATGCGAATACCATCGTTGGACCATTAGTCGAAAACGTACAGATCTAGAAAACGATAGAATTTCAAAGTGACTATAACTAACAACGTTTCGTTTATTTAATGAGAAGTCCTATAACAAATATAGTTCAACAGTAATAATCCTAAAAGGCTCGAAAACACATGAAGGTTTTCGTCAACTAGTTTAGATTTTCAACATCTAGCTGTTAATATTTCGTTTGTTTTCAAGTGAAATGAAAAGGAAGTCCACGACAATATTACCAGCCTAAAGTTCATTAAACTCAGCTGAAATTGTACAGATATATACCACCTGAAACTGTTATTATTATTATCTGTATTACCTATTGTAAAGATATTTTGCTTGTTAGGATAAATGAAAATAAGAAATGCCTAATATGTGATACTTTATTGTCAGGATATTTTGTTGAAAGTTATACAATTCATCACTTTACAAAATGAAGGTCATGATTACAACCCCCAGCGAGATTAAATTTTATGTTTATAGTTGATTTCATTTAATCAACATTACTTTGCCAGTGGATTAAGTAACTCCTTTGAGAGACAAAAGTACTTATAGATGGTGAAAGACGAAGACAATAGTAATCCCATCAGAATTAAGTAACAGTCAGTAGCTGTTTGTATACATACTGAAGTGAGCTATCAAATGAAACCGATGGTCAAATAAAACACCACTAAGAAAGTTTAAACAATTTAAAAATCTAAAATCTAAATGGTTTGTATCAGTCAGCATACAGACAATCTTCAGTTATGCGTCATTTAACTTGTATTGACCAATGCCTTTCCTCACATTAAATGCTAAAGCGACAAACGTTCAGGTGAAGTACAATTTTACAAATATGAGAGATCAAATTTGTTTCGAGAAACTGTCAAAGTCAAAATGATTAAGAAAGGTGTTTCATTTGCCAGATGTACAGAAATATTTTATCTGAAGGAGAGGAGAAAGAGCACCACTTGTATAGACACTGACCGCATGTTCGCAGGACTTTAAGAAAAACAAATATTCTAGTTTTTTTAAAATCAAAGATTTCCATTGCATGTATTATCCTAAAATCTAGTTTTTCTTATGCCCTCTATTAATTAATAAGCAAAGCACTTTGAAATATGTTTTGTCACAATCCTATGAGATTAACAGAGTTTTTGCTGTGTAGATATGAAACAGTTACTCTTATAATTCAGAACAACTAACGAATTTTATTTTTTTAAAAGTCAAATCTCTATGCTCATAAGACTATTTAGTAGCTTTATAAATTAAGTCTTATTCTGATTCCACTTTTTTCTCAGAATATCACTGATTAGACGACATGAATGTGGCCATTCTAGTCAGGCTTATTAATTGCAATAATAGTAATAATAATAACAAGCTCAAGAACTGACAACTGGATGACAGCCACTATAGTTGCTGCCAGTGTCTTCAACATGCAGTGAACTGAGCTTTATCATTAGATGTCAGGAGCCAACCATCAGCATTCTTTTTAAAATAAGTGTCATGTTCATAGCAGCTCATTAGCATGGAGCACTGACGAACTAAGAAAAACTTGTGTCTCCTCGAAAACTTGAGCCATTGTAGTTCATTGACGAATTCATAAAATTTACCTCCAACCTATTCACTTCACAAATGAGCTTTTATATGACTGCATTAAGCACGCGAATCGCTCACTAGATAACAAGTGGTGTAGATGTCGACGTCTGAGTTCTCGTTACACTCCATAATGAATAAGATTTTATTTTGACAAATCACACAGTGTTGTACAGTTATGTTAACTGTACAACACTGTGTGATTTGTCAAAATAAAATCTTATTCATTATGGAATTATACTCTACCACAGTGCCCAAATTTTATACTTATTCTCGTTACACTCATTGAGCTCAGAATGCAGAAGCAGTTGTTTCCAGTCAAATGGAAAGAGTATACTAAGAGTTTTCTGTGTATAAACCCACGCTTTTCTAGTTATTGTTATTCTGAGTGTTTTGCTTATTAATCATTCCACTATCAATTTCACGTTGCCAAAGTAACTTGTAGTCTTGTGTGAATGACGTTTAAGACCTTTTCAATCAATTGTGGCGGTTATAAACATAAAACTTTGTGTTTATACACTCTTTGGACTTTTTTGAAGTTTCCATTTTCCCTTTAAAATTAATAGATTCATCTTCGTGCATTATTCACTTATGAACCAAGTGACGACCGTTATCTAGCCTGTAAAGAGCTGGGTTTAGCTTTCACTAAAGGTGATATTATACATGTCACAGGTAGAAAAGACCCGAATTGGTGGCAAGCTTACCGGTTAGTTCCTTTTTAAGTGAACGCCTATTGTTTTACTCATGATATTTTGTATTTTTCAACTGATCTATATATAATTATTCTCTTTCAACTTACCCTTATGTGTTTTTGAAATTTTGTTGCTAACGTATATCAGATCGTTTCTTTTTCATGTTTTGTTTCAAATAGTGCCAACTTGAACCGATATACTTCTATCCAGGGTTCTTCGTTACTGTACCAGTTTGTCTTTACTCTCTCTCCCTCTCCCCCTCTCTCTCTCTAAATATATATATATATATAAACGACACTATAGGCCTATAGGCCTCTTGTCCATACCAAGTGAAGTACTAAGTCGCCACATCCTGAAGAGAATGGAAGATGCACTGGATACAGGACTCCACCACACCGGCTGGACAAGCTGTATTAGGGAAGGCAAATCATGTGCTGATCAAACTGCAACTAAACGCACCGTCATCACAGAACAAAGCATAGAATGGCAATCGACTCCCAGTCTACCTCAAATTCATCGACTTTGAAATGGCCTTTGACAGACAGCGTTGACCACGAATAATTCGGAAATTAATTCAACACTATTGCGTGCGGTGCTCACATCTTTACTACGCTCATTCACTATCTGGCCATATGACAATATCTGTCACGTGTTAGGTGACCCACAACGGAAACCTCAGAGAGGTGTTCGAAGTGAAAACAGAAGTAAGACAATCTGTCTGCCTGGCTATTATCACCCACGATAATATTCTTAATTGTGGTGGACTGGATTGTGCGTCAGACTGTGCTTGGTGGCGAGAAGTCAGGAATACGCTGGACGACCGATAAGGAGACTCTAGAAGATCTGGATTTCGCGCGTGGATGATATATGTCTAATGTCACACAAACAACCAGCAGCAATCACCATCAACGGGAGACATTTAACAGAGGTCACTTCCTGCCTTCACTTATCTATGAAGCATCGTTTCAACTACAGGCAGTCGGAACGGACAAAGATGTCAAAGTCAGAATCGGAAAGGTAAGATACGCACGCCTTCATCAACCTGAAACCAGTTTGGAAATCTTCCACACTTAGCATAAGGAACAAGATTTGCATTTTCAACACCAATGTGAAGTCGGTCAGTGCTTCTATACGGGTTAGAAACTTGGCGTGTCACAAAGAGGATTTCCAATAGCCATCTGCAGACTTTTATCAACAGCTACCTTCGCTGGCTCCATGCTCAGGATCAAATGGCCAGAAAGAATAAGTTACAAGAAACTGTCAGAACAAACCAAGCAAGAGCCGATCGCTCAACAAATATGTAGGAGAAAGTGGAGATTGATCGGGCATACATTGAGGAGGCCGCCGAATGACATCGCACGCCAGCCCCTCAAATGGAATCCAAATGAGAAGCGACTAAAGGGTCGTCCTAGGGTGACTTTGGGGAAATCATGGGAGGAAAGGATGAGAGAGCTTGGCCAATCGTGGACTCAGCTGAAGAGGACGGCAGAAAACAGAACGAAGTAGAGATGTTTTGTTGAAACGCAAGGGAATAGTACTAATAATAATAGGCCTATAACGCTGTATGGTATGGCATATTATTCATTTGTTGGATGATTTTTACAAAGACATGTATCTAGTAAACTTAAGGTGTTCATTGAAGCAGATAAACCTTCTGCTCCAAGATATGGTTCATTGGGAAGGGAATTATTCAACCAAATAGTATCACGAATCAACACATATTATCTATGACTAGTTGCTTAGATTATAGACATGGACTACTAAGCTGTATCCTTGTTATTGTTATAAGAGGTTTTTATTCTATTATACTGGTTCGATGAGAGAGAAATTTCGTGGTGCAGAGGCTTCACAGTGGTTATTTATCTACAAGTGACAGTGATAAATTATGTTTGATTAAATGTTGCTACAATTAAACTCTTCCAACCCTTTCACTGTTAGCAGTTTAAAAAAGTATGACTATTATGTAATGTTAGTTATGTGCCAGTGACACCATGTGACATTACCATAAATGGATATGCCAATACCTTAAATATGATATATACACCAGCTAATTTTAAATTATCACACGGCAAACTACAGGTTCAATACACACAGTTTTTCTTTGATTAGTAGGACATCAAAAAGTACTTGCAAAAATGATAATTAAGGAAGTTCTTGACGTAAATCACGTTTTAATGTCACTACAGTTTAAGCTTTACCTATGAGTGTACACGGATGCATAATTCCAAGCAGAATAACCTTAATAGCAAATGTAAATCGTCTGAGAGTTCCCTTCGGAACTTGGCAGTTTTGCAAAACTTCGCAACCGAAGCTTTCTTGTTGTGTGTTTCATGCAGTAATGTACACATGCTTGAACCAAAATATCATTAAAAGCTATCAAATGCCCCAACTCCAGCACAGTATGACAAATTTGTGTTTTTAGTTCTACGCCTACACAATCCTCTAGAATACGAAGCAGTGTTGCTATTTATGCTTGAAGTTTGTTCTGATCAAGAATGAAAGAATTCTGTCGACTGACTGAGATATACGATGTGGTAGTCTCTCAGTACTTACTTCTGAGCAATAATAAACACAAGCATGTCTAAACGGTTAATCAAATAAAATAAAGGTAGTAATTTCTGATGAAACACATTGTTGATATTAGATGGTTGGACGCAATCAACAGGAAGCCTTGTACCTACGTTTCATGCTAGTTGGCATTTATCCGGTCAGAAAGACGTGTCTGCAACCTCGAAGGAACTCATGTCCCTCCTGAGATTCGAACCTACGTCACCCAGTGATGCAATCAAAAGGGATACCACTGAGCTATTCAGGCTCACAACTGACCTTCTTTAGGACTGTATTGGATATTTTGATTGGACGCTAGTAACTAGTGTTTAGGACTAGGACTAGATACATCACACTAGTTACTAGTGTCTACTCAAAGAAACACATTGTTCACATTATTTTTACTGCAACAGTTAGTGAACACATAATTTGATAATTCAGTTAGATACATAGTTATAGACAGTGTTTAACAGAAGTATTCCTCAGACAATTAAAAGCTGTCTCTGTACTTGAAATCCTGCAGTTGAATATATATAGATCCACAAAGTTTATTTAGTAACATCAGACGGATAGCAAACCTTCGATCTTGTAAGCATATCGGTGCAAAATGACATGGCTTTATGGTAGAGTTGTGATAGACACCACTCACAGTCAACAATATACAGTCTAGACAATAATTGGAACAAATATTGCGTAACTTGAAAGTTACCCTAATAAATACAATGAACTCTAAACTAGCCGTAAACATTAGGTTTCTTTAAAAGTTGAAAAAGATATCATGAGGGGTTTCTTAAAGTTCTATCACTAACACGTTTGGCTGTGATTGTGCTACTTTAATGTTATTCTTTTTATGATAAACAAACATGTCTAACTTCATGATAGCTTATTTCAACACAGGTTTGTGCAACACAGATTGTATGTCACAAATATCCAGAGAGTAAACTTTTGTCAAGCATCATATTTGTTTAAATATGTTGTAATTCACGTTTTTTATGAATACATTCTCAGATGTCGTAAGACAAAATGTATTTTGTCAACTAATTTATTTTCTTTTAAATGACAAATGAGAAGGGTATTTCTGAAGTGAAACTAACCGTGTACCTGACTGACTATGTTGTTTTTATTCTTCCTAATATCACAAGAGTACACTCATGATTAGTGGTTAACCAGTACTGTGAGGATCAACATTGAGTGTTTTGTTTATAGAAATAACTTCATATTGTGTGTTCTTATTAGATTGTTGCTACAGCTGCACGAAACATCTTGCCACTTGTGTTTTACTCATCACATTATGTCAACACATTAACAGGTTTTACTAAATTTTTTTTCGCCCTGTTCAGAAGTGATGAAGAACGAGGCTTATCTGGTGCAATCGGGACATTGGCGGGTCTTATACCAAGTCCAGCATATCAGCGCAATCGCTCGATATTACGCTTAAAATACTGGTTAAACAGTGGGGCTGAAGATATTGACCTGGAAGAAGACTCTGAAGAAGATTCTGATTCTGCTGGTCAAGCTGCTGCGAAACTCGAAAAACAAGCCCCGAATACTGTAAAAGAGAAGAGATTTCTAGGAATCAAATTTCCAACACGTCGAACGGCAACTTCTGACAGCAAAACTACGATACAGTCAGTACGTGAAAATGATTCAAAAAGTGATATGGCGTCTATGAGTACAAGTCAAAACGATTTAACAGATTCATCCACACCCACTCCAGAAGACGATTCACGCTGTGTAATGAATAGCACTGTGTTAAGTTCCATTTATGCAGATCGTATGTCTGGTTTAACGAAACCAACAGATCCGTCTTCACTCAGTGCAATAAATGAATGGTCAGGTGTGTTTGATATTTTATCCAGTGAAAAACTTCTCTCTCACATTCATAAATAATTTTGTGTAAATGACTGTAATATTCCTCGTTATTTTTACAAAACTGTTTTCAAATCTTACTTAACTTTGATGTATCTAGGGTCAGGTTGTGAATCTCATTTTTTCGGATTTGTAAACACATGGAGTTTGCAACCTTGAAACAGCTAATACAGTTTGAGTCTCAGACCCTTGTAAATTGCCATTCGCTTAGAGACATTGTCATTGAGTTATTATTCAAACAACAGTTAGAACACTGCGCCCTAAAGTGTTACTTAAATGAGCTTTTTATTTTTGTTCCATCAGCAATAAAGTGGTGGACAGTGTGTCAACCGTTATGTTGTTATTCACTCTGTGATGGTCGCGTCCATCTTATACTTGAGGATAAAAAAAAACAAATCTTCAGTGTAACAGAGATACAAAGCAGCTTGCTTAAAACAATGCATTTTAGAAGAAACCTTTAGCAGAGAAATAAAATCAGCTTTTCAACATACAAGTGGATTTCAACTTCTCTATTTTTATTTAAAAGTGATCAATAAAATTTGAGAGATATTAGACTTACAGGAATCTAGTTATAATGAGGCTGTAAGCACCTAGTTTAAGTAGTTGATTTTCAACTGGTTAGTTAGTATTTCGGATTCCATTATAGCTAGCAATATTTGGTAAGCCACATATTATCACTGGCCCTAATATAATGAAGGTAGAAATATGAATGTGATTACTGAGTCGCAGTGCATTCTTCGGATAATTCAGTAATTCTGATTGTAACACAAGTTGAAATCGCTTACTAGAGTTCTACAGAAGTCCACAGAACTATGGCAGTGAACAGATGGTTGGAATATTTGAGAAAAACAATCGCAAAATTATCCGGACAATTCCAAATAAGCTTTTTTCAATAATGTAATCATGGTTACTGCTCAAAATCACGTGCATTGTACCAATCCACGCGAGTTCCTCGAAGGTGATCATATTTTTATTAGCGCAGATACTATTTTCATCTTGTAATAATGAACAGTAATTTGTCTTACTTTTTGTTTTTGTTTTTTTAGCTGCTGGACCAGTATGGGGTCAGCACGGTTATGATCTGCGTAAACTACGCGCGCGTCGTAAACATTCCAGGAGAAAACATTCTTTGTCAAACAAATCTTCTCCTTGCTTAGAGGGTATTCGATCATGGAAGAAGCATAAAGGATATGCAGAGTACTATCCATCACTTGTTCCTGGTATGATGGTTTTTTGGTGTTATTAACTTTCTGCTTTGTTTGGTGGGCTCCACAGAATCAAAGCTCAGCAGTTACATGTTTAAAAAAATCAAACAGTCTAGTATAGTTAGATTGATTATTAGTGGAATCTTGGGATCGGTGAAATCATTAAAGGATTCAAACCTATGGCCTCCAGGCTACTGATTTGATGCTGTACCAAAAAAATACTAGATTTAGTTGCTAAGGTGGTCTGAATTTTACTCAGTTTACTGGTCACTCTGTCTAGCTGTGACTTTCATGAACTAGACAGCTGGATTTCATCACATTCTTTGTCGTCTAGCCAAGTCTTCTCTTTCAACTTCTGACCAAATGGAGTCACAAGTGAATAGGACAGTGATTTTCACCTGTTGCCCACACTAGTTGTTAATCTAGGATCAAATGAATTGATTTTCACCATCACTACGGTGCACTGTGAGTGATAATCGTTTTCTTTCAACTGACATTGGGAATGACTAAACAAATCGTAAAATAAAATTGTAAAGCAACTTATTTTGCTTAGTTGATTGAATGTATTGATCCGATGCATATAACCTAAAGAAAAATTTCATATCAAGGTGACAAAATTAGGTGACTTGAATGTAAAATATTCCGAGTGAACTGGAAACAAAAGTGAAAAGCATTGCAGAATATATACTAACTGAACTTAATGTTTTTGGTATGTATATACGTGTGTGCAATAACGAATTTATTCAAAAATCATTGATTACTTTTGAGGTCACTAGACAGAGGAAGAGGTTCAGTACCACTGATAGCTACTATTATTATCTTACCGAATCTAGTGTTTTTTATGTGGTTTTCTCAAATAGCTTTGTGCAAATCACGTCACTGGTTTGTATGCTCATGTTCAGACAGTCACAATTACTTTATGTACTAAATTTATTTCCAGCAAAATTCAATACACAAAACTAATCAATCACTGAATACGTCAGTTAGTCGGTTCTGGGAGTTAAACCTCTCTTTTTCCCTGCTTTTCAAGTAGTTCTGATAACTTCAGTATAATGTTTCCCCTGTTGGGGTGCATTTTCTAGTATGCGGGAATAAAATCTTGAAAAAAAAAACATTTCACTTATGTACACACCACTTCAACGAGTTAAGGTAGTAATCTTTGCCTACTGGAAACTCTAAATTCTTGTTTCAAACAGATTATGTTTACGCGTGTATTTTTGCACGTGGTTGTGTTCCGATGCAAACGTTTTGCTTGAGGTGTCATGCGATATGACGTTTTCATACATTTTAATCATAGCAGCACTTCCTTCTCTATTAACGATTAAGATCATGCATGAAATGAGAAATTCTATTCGTCTGTTCTGAAAAGAAGCCTATTAACATATTTAGTCAGCTTTGTGTTATTCCGTTACACTGTGTACTACTGTAGCATTTCTATATTCTGTCTGCCTATTTGATCACAAAAGTGACTATAGCTTGTGTGTTAATTGCGTGTGCAACTTATCGATTAGAGACTCAGGTGACTATACAATTACAGCAGTATATGTGCGTATTTTCGTAAATCTTTCTGTCGATCGATAAGTAGAAATGGCATTTTGATTGTTTACCTGTGAATTTATGTGTGCGTACATCTGTGTTTATGTGTATGACAGCCAGTAGACTCTTTTGAGAAATTCCTGATTGTCTTGCTAAAATATTCAGAATGAATGTGTTCAGTTATGCGCAAAATAATCCTTTAACAAGTGTGTGTGTGTGTGTTTGTGATGTTATCTATCGTACATCACTTGTATCATCATCTTGTTTGTCAGGCATGTATAATTAATAACTAATACAATTAGTCTGACTCTGAGCGCATTAAAGTAAAAGACCAGTGAACTCTGATGTGAATAACACAAATAAATCTGTTGAGTATCCAAAGAAAGATGAGATTATTTCTCTGTCAGTCGTAATTACTCTTAAGGACTACAACGTCTCTGTGGAAGGTGTCAGCTTACATATCATACTGCTTACAGGAAACACAGTGGTCTTCCTGTTAACCAATAAATAGATAAAATAGAAAAATGTAAAGACTATTTGGGAAATATTTGAGTCAATATTTTTTCGAAATCTACATATCTGATATTCCTGTGGCAACTGGGAAAGAAATATTACTTTCCATCTGCTAGTTCTTATCGTTAGCATAAACATTTTTTGTACTCTGGAACTGGGTATATTTCTTAAATTGTTATATAATTGGAAAAAAGAAGTTTGTATCAATTAGATCTGTTTCATCCCTTGACTAATAGTTGGTGATCTGATGACTGGGCTCTGATACCACAATAATGCGACTGAACTATACATTTATCAGCTGTTGTTCCCTGAAGTTTTATCCTGTTAGAAAGACTAATTACAATATTCATTAGAGTTACCATCATAAGGTCAGAAGTGTACACTGTGATGAGAGCGAAATCGTCCTGAAACACTGATAGGTATTCGACAGCACTAAGGTACTTTATTTGATTGCCAAACATCACTAATTACTCAGGAAAAGAGGTAGCATAAGTGGAAAAAGAAAAATTCATACAACTGGTTGCCTTTATTAGTTTGGATACAGAAAGAACGAAGGGAGACTGTAACTGTCATCCCAACCATAGGTTCCCTTAGATAACTTCGTTGTACTGTGGGAAGTTAATGAAAATGCAGAAATATCTCTGTTGAAGATGCCAATGTTAGATCTATGAATTTTGGGTTCTATGTAAAACTCCCACACATTTTTAGTAATACAAGAAGCTGTTTTGATTATTACTGCATTATTCTTCCATTACCTAAATTTCTGTTTTTCTACTAGGCTTGTATTATCTTCATCTTTTTCTTCTTCCATAGCCGAAAGTTGTTGCAATCGCTCTCTAAGTCATATTTTCGTTCTCTAAACGCTCACAGTCTGTAAGACTGGGCAGCTAGATTGATTATTCCTTTTTGTTCGAAATTATGACTACACATGAATGTTGTGTCTCTGTAAATCATCTCGAAATTGTGTTATTCTAGCTACTTATATGATTTCATTTGGACAGTGTAGTTAGTGATCGCTCTTCAAATAAAGATGTCTCAGAGTGCGGCAGTCAATTACAGCTATCTTATGAGTATGAATATCAAAGGAAGTTATGGGCGGAAAGCATACTTCTTGGTAGTGCCTTGTATACTGTTTGAATAATTACTACAATAGAACATAAAAGTGATTTTGGTAAGGTCCGTCATTCTGTTGTAGCGTGAAATGATTGACAGACACGCCTGATTGTTTTATTGAAGCATTTAATTGCATGAGTACATATACCTAACAGAACCCATTGATACTTCTGAAATCTTCATCCAATATCTCGATATTGAATAACCATCACTACAACCACAATATACGAAACGCCTCATTCTACTGCAATCATGTGGTACCAAACTGACCAATTGTACACAAATAAACCGTATTGACATTGGTTACCACTGTTAGGGGTTGGTGAAGAATCTTCTCTCCCTTCGGAGTGGATTTTAGCGTGAGTTACGGCAATCTTAAACTGACATGCTTAGTTCTGTGTTCTTTGTATCTGTCGAATGCGTATATCACTCCTTATTCTCGAGAGCTTCTCCTTCAAGCAGCTGCACTTCTCACTAACTTTATGACCACATTTAGTGGTACGTCAGTGAATACAGAATAAAAAGGATTATAAAATGTTTAGAAATTACAATAGTTTGGTGTTTATATTCCTCCTAAAAGGTAACTGTTAATCTAAGAACAGGTAGTTTTTCAGTTGCCATGAAAATTGTTAGAATATTTCAACATTTTAATTGATCAGAGCTCCCTGTAGAGCTATTGAAACAATATATTCGATCTCCTCACCGTAGACGAACTCTGGGTATTCATTAATAGTGACGATAGATTTTCTTATAATCTACTGTTGAAGTTTTTTAAGGTAAATATTCTTGTAATCATTTTCGTTTTTTCTACTGATTATATTTGAAGAAATGTTTGTAGGAAAAATGTTAGTTTCTTATATGCAAGTGTCGCGTGTGCTACTGATAAGATTTATCAGTAGTATATAAAGAGACATTTATTGGCATAAAAACATCAAACGGCAAGGAGATAGATCTGACATCAAAGAGAGAAAATGATTCAACGCTGGGGCAAAACATGAGAGATACGAAAAGAAGACAAAGAAACACAATACGAAGGGCAGAAGTAGCCCAACACGGAAGATCTGTGCAAATGACGATTTGCAGATAGCATGTACATAATTCCGCTATTTAGAGATAACAAATTCCAAATAAACAACTCTTCTAGCGTTACACAAGTATTTCAGTTATCGTGTTGGAAAGATTTTTGATGTATACTATTTGAGACAAAATATTTCTTCTAACTGATATCTTAATTTCATAGTGAACCAGGGATGCGAAATGTCATTATTTCTGAGTGACAATAATTCTTGATTTTTAAAATTAACTTTAGAGTTATCTATAAACTTGATAATCGTTTTATTCATCTAAAACTGAAGTCATCTGGTTTATATCTGAAATGCTTCATTTTGAAGGGTTTTACTATTAAGTGAACTGTAATCTAGTCAAATGTCTTCACTTGAAAAGCTAAGATGACTGAAAGTATCTGTTGGTGGTGAATTCATCAGTTCTTATTAATTAATTTTTGAATCATGCGCATTCCGAACTTGATTTTTCCATATAAACTGTAGGTATTTTTCGCCTCTGAATCAGGTATCTGCTTAACGTGCAATGCATTAGTCTATGGAATTATTTCTACTTAATGATTTTAGTTCCCAACAGTCAACTACAATCTGGTGATGATCCTGTTGCTTGGTTAGACAAAGAAGTTGCTCGCGGTTATATGATACATTCCAGTTTGTGGACTTATGAACCTGTGGCTCAATATATTCCACAACCACTTCGTCGGCGTCCGCTTATATTTGTTGGACCAGCGCATGTTGGACGGCACCAGATTATGCAACACCTTATCCAACGTGAACCTGATCGTTTTTATCCGGCAGCTATTTGTGAGTTTCAATTTTGAGAAAAGTTGTTCGTTGTCTTATTTCTCATACCTGTAGACTATTGACTGAAGTAGCCTGACTAATCTGCATAATCTAGCCAGTCACAGTTCATAAAAGTTTGCAGTATTCTTAAAAATTCTCATCAAAGTTTTATCAGATACATCTTGATACATAAAGTAGTAACATCAAAGATGAGAGTTTACTGACTATGAATTTTATTATTTGGAAATCTGAAATTCTGTAGATCAACAAACTGACAGAATAGTTGAAATGATACTGTGGGAAGTCACCTGTTTGCATTGTCGATATTAGATGGTTAGAGGCAATCAGCAAGAAGCCTTGAACCTACTTTTCTTGATATTCGGCATTCACCAGTTGGCAAGGAATATGTGCAACCCTTAAGGAACTCATGTCCCTTCTGAGATTCGAACCCACGTCACCCAGTGATACAATCAAGGAGGTTACCACTGAGCTATTCAAGCTTACGATTGACCTTCTTTATTTTTTTATTATTTTGATTTACAGCTTGATTCCACACCGTATTTTCAGTACAAGTATGGAACTTTCAGCATGGATATCGGTAGCCCAAATTCAGGCCGACCATAGATATCGGGTGTGCGCCGGCAGGGGATCGAACCCCGGACCATGAGCATGGTCGGCGAGAGTCCTAACCACTGTGCCACCGACTGTATTGGATATTTTTGGCTGGACACTAGTCAGTAACTAGTGTAATGTGTCTAGTCCTATCTGCTTGCAAGCTTTACTAGAATATTTAGTGCTTGTTACTACCTTTTGTTTAATAACTATGGGTCATGAATTCTTGTGAATGTAAAATTAAGAGGCAAAAAGAGAAATTTATTAATATTTATCTTTCATATTTTGTAAAGTGCGATATCTACTGCTCTCTGGATGTTTATTTTTTGATAAACATCGGAGAAATCATATGACCAGCTGAACACTATAAATTTTCAAGTATAATGTGAATTATTCAATGCATTTGTTTCATTCGGGCATTTCCATTATCATTTAAAAATGGACATCATAAATTTCAGAGAATGAAGAATACTCCCTTCGATAGCTTCTTCTTCAGGTCCTACAGATACCTGTCCATATTAGTTAATGTACAGCATCCTAACAATAAGAAACGTTATTCTTGTCAATAAAAACTATTCCTTAAGCTAATAAAAACACAGAACGGTAGAACCTGAAGAAATTATTGTTGACCAGTCAGTGTTTTAAAACTGCCAGCAATGATCTAGCGACATAATTGTTTTTGACCACAATAACACTGGACTACTGTAATATTGCAAGTAGTGTAGCCGCATATCGCTCATAAATGATGTGCAGGCAATTGGCTATTTATTCACATACCTTAGTGTAATTCGATGCCGATTCCTTTTCACATTACAATAGATTTAGCTCCAGAAAGTGTTTTATGCATGCCTAAAAGCTATAATAGTATTGCTTTATCCAACTCGACTATCAGGATATCATGTTGATAGGTGGTATGAATCCGCATAAATTCTTTGATGGTTATTGTACGTTTTCACCACATTTCACCGTCAACTTTATTCAATAAAATTTTCATATATGACTTATCATTAAAATGTATGTATCGATTGCGCTCCCAATTACAGACTATTGAACCTTAGACTAAGCTAGTTTATGTTCTATTTTGAAAGGTTTCAACAAACAACTAGCGAGTGCTTTTTTTCAACTAATTTGAAAAATGGGCTAGAAACGTCACCTGAAGGATTCCTAAGGTGAGAGCGGCTGGATATACCGATCGCGTGGTTTGAATGAATATGTCCATGTACTGGACACAGAATCCAGAGGTTCTTAATTGCTTACTAACTCAAATGCTGGATATCTAGTTGAATCTGTAATAAAGTAAATATTCTCACTGCCATGCAAAAAGGAACTGTGATTAATCGCAGCTGACCTTAGCAACAATTATTCCACCTATAGTAGAATCATGTATTCTGTTCTCTGTTATTGGCACTTTCAATCCTCTGATCTCAACTCACTCAATATATTTGAAATCACTTCCTCTAAAATCTGTTTTCTAAGATGTTTCGATGATACTTCATGAAAAGACAGTAGAAATGATGCACTAGAGTTTGGGGAATAACTCTGCAGGTGATCAGCGTAACCGTCAAATAGCAGAACTATTTCATTTCGTTACCTTACTCTGAGGTAAGACTATTCCTACAACCATTGTCAACAGGTTTGCATATCACTACTTTTGACTTCCATTAGTTGAACACGACTCAATACGGATGGCGGCTGTATTTGTGTATAAAATGTCTTGCCTTCTTTTAGACACAACAAATACAAGTTTGAAGACAGATAACAAGTTTTCGTATATATGCATCTCAGAGGACGATTTCCAGCTGAAACGTAAACAAGGTGAATTTATTGAATGGGGATTATTTAACCGTGCTTATTATGGAACTAGCACGCAAACAGTGCGTCAGTTGGTAGATGAAGGCAAAATATGTTGTATATCACTAAGGCCTGATGTAAGTTTTCAGTTTTTTCATTATGAGGATAAAATAGCTCAGATATCTCTAATTTCACTTTTCTCTAGTGATCTTTGTCATTTTTGTAATAGGAGAACTGACGAGTATGTTTGTAAATACCTGCCAGACTTTGATTCGAATGTCAAGTTGCATGAATGGTTTTAGATACAAATTTATGTTGGATAATGTGTGCCTGTGGCTGTTTAACTGTTTATATATATATATATATATTATTATATATATATATGTAGCTAGCGGAACAGCACATTCAAATTATGTGTCTTAAAAGTAAACTGAATTCGGGTCTCACGCGCTCATGACTTTCGAAATACGTTAAATGCAGTTAGTAATAAAATTTCTGAAGAACTGTTTTATATTCTTCAAGTGGAAGCACCTCAAGCTGATATCCATTTACTTTATATTCATTCACAACTGTGGTACAAGATAGTTCAAGATTTGACTAAAAATAAAAATAACTCTGCTCCAACAGAGAGTACTACATATGTATATCAGGTAAGGTCAGCAGACATAACATAAATCTATGCCAGACTGCTGATTTTCAGTGAGGTTTCTCTCTATACTTTTAACATATGAATGGACATGTAGGCTTTCAAAGGGGTCCCCGTTTGTACTTGCGCATTCAGAAGGGTTGTTTACTTACAACGTCAAGTTAAAAGTATCGGCACACATATTATTTTCACATTTTCAGATGGTGTTTTTTCCCAGTTATATTCATTTCCTGTACTGTAACTATACGGATCAGAAACTTGGCAGGTCACAAAGAATATTTTCAACAGGTTACAGACATTTATCAACAGCTGTCTTCGCTCTATACTGAAGATCAGATGGCCGGAAAGAATCACAAACAAGAAGCTATGGGAAGAAACAAAACAAGAACCAATCGCTCAACAAATATGCAGGAGAAAGTGGAGATGGATTGGACACTCGCTGAGGAGGCCGTTGGGTGACATTGCGCGTCAGGCCCTCGAGTGAAACCCGAAAGGGAAGCGGCGAGTGGGACGTCCAAGGGTGACATGGAGGAGACCGTGTGAACAGGAACTGAAACAGTATGGATTAACATGGATACAAGTGAAAAATATAGCAGAAGACAGAAGCAAGTGGAGGCGTGCAGTTGAAGCCCTATGTTTCACTAGGAACCCAAGGGAACAATAATAATATAACTATGATCATTGATGCATTAATTTAATTTGCATACTAAAACTAACATGCCTCGTCCAATAAGTTACTGAGGTTTCGACAAATTTTTTTGTGTGAATAGGATATTTATAAATAAATGAGTTGATGGATATCAAAGTAGTGTCAAAATAGACTACCAATTGATAAACATTTAAAAGTAATGGAAATATTTTTGTCGTTTTAAAATGAGACTTCATTAATACCTGAGAAGCGAGTACGCCACAATTATCGACTTCTATATCCACTCAACTCTCGTCAGTGGGTAGTTTTTCTATCTTTTCTAGGATACCTTATTCCTTAGTGGAACTGGGATAAAATGCTGGCCAACTACGCAAATGGTCTGGGTTTGATTCTCGCCCGGCGCACCCGTCTAGGATGATAGATAGTAAGCCCGGTGAAAAGGGAAAGTTGGGTATGCATCTAGTAACCGAATCCTGTAAACAATAAGAGATTGCTACTGAAACTTGAAACCTTAAAGCTTGAAGCCGTATGTCCCACTCGGAACGCAAGGGAATGATATATATATATATATATATATATATATATAAATTGATGGCTTGCATTTATTGATATCCTGGCAATCTCCTAACGATGAAAACACCATTCATGCCATCTATTCGTTCTTGTTTTTGTTGTTGTAGTATGTTAACTATTTACTTGTTCATGAAATTATTTAAAATAAGAACTCCTGTACTCCTAAAAATGTAATAATTTTGTTAATTAGCAATACCTCTCAATTTTCAATATGTCTGTTTTTTTAAATTGTAGTCTTTACGCAAAGTTCGTTCAAGTGGTCTTGTGCCTTACATAATATTTATTTCACCACCGGAACGAGTTGATGATTTACAGCGTTTGCGCCAAAAATTGAATCTCACTGGAAACTGTTCTGTAAGTGATAAATTGTATGATATTATGCCAAACATTTTGTTCTATGTAATTGGTGAATGGTGACTAGCAGTGGAATCCAGGATGCGCATTTCGTCCTGTTTGGGACTCGTCATCTGGACGTACCTGCATTTCTCAGTGAGTGATGATGTTCCAATCGAGGGGCATCCTAGATGCCACTGCTAGTCACCATCCACCAATTAAATACTAATTAAATGCCCAGACATCGTCGAAGCATCTGCACAAGAAGCCGACATGTTAACCTGAGACCGAGCACTTCGGTGCAATCAATCGACGGGAAAAATCTAAAATTAAATTAAATTTTTTTCTATGGTTTACAATCGCCATATATTCTATTGTGAAATCGTATCATCTACATTCATCTACGCCTACAGAGCTTAAGGTTTTCGGACTAGACTGCAATGCATTTACCATTACTAACTGTTTAAAACAAAACTTACAGTAATTCTAAAAACAGTTTCTTTGCAGGAAATTTCAGATTTAATTGTCGTCGCATTTTAATTTTATTTTCCTGTTTTATTACACTTCTTCCTGACTTTAAGAACTCTTTTATCTCACACGTACATTTTCTTTTTATTATATTGTAGAATGAAGAATTGAAAGCATGCATTGAAACAAGTCGTAAAATGGAAATACGCTTTGGACACTGGTTTGATAGGGTAATTATCCCTGAAACTTTGGACTCCACGGTGACTGAGCTAGTTCGTCTCGCCATCAGACTTGAACGCGAGCCAACATGGGTGCCGAGGTATTGGTTGGATATGGACTAGGCAGATACCATTATTACTGTCAGTATTATGCCAGTAGCATTTCATTTGCTCTGCTCACTTAATTTAACTAAGCTTAAGGATATGACCATCCAGTATGACTCACCCAGGCCGTATTTCGTCTTTTTCTCTCAGGCATTTCTTTTTCTTCAACAACGACTGAATAACATTTTTTTATCTACTGATTGAGAAAAGCACTCTGTTTTTTGTGTGCAGTTGATCATAAATAATTTTTCACTATTATTACTATTATTATTATGATTATTATGAAACGCTACCAGTATTAAAAATATATACTTTCAGTTTTTTTTATCAAAAGCCTCCTACGTGCCGTTTAACTATTCACTAACGTATAAAAATAAACAATAAAATGCTTACCTCTTTTCATGAGAATGCGAATATATATATATATATTTAGAGAGAGAGAGAGTATAATAGATTAAAAGAATATTAACTATGGAAATATCAAGTTACTATGCGCAAACTGGCAGACTGACTGAAGGTTAATAAAACGAATCATCAGTAAGCGTTAGTGAGGTAGAAGTGATGCAAGTTCCATTCCCGGCTGCACTTACCATATTATAGTATTATTATTCCCTAGGGTTCCGAGTGGAACATAAGGCTTCAACAACACTTCTCTACTTTCTTCTATTTTCTGCCACCCTCTTCATCTGGGTCCACGATTGCCCAAACTCTCTCATCTTTTACTTACACGACCTGCCCAATGTTACCCTAGGACGACCCGCTCGTCGCTTCACAGTGGGATTCCACTCGAGCGATGGCCTGCATTGCACGCGATGTCATTCGACGGCCTTCGCAATGTGTGTCCGATCCATCTCCATTTTCTCCTACATATTTGTTGAGCGATCGCCTCTTGGTTGGTTTATTCTCAGCCAGAGTTTCTTGTTAATAATTCTTTCTGTCCTGCTATTTGGTCTTCACCATGGAGCCAGCGAAGTGGAAAGCTGTTGATAAAAGTCTGCAGATGGCTGTTGGAAATCCTTTTCGTGACACTCAGTGCAAGTTTCTGACCAAACACATGTTGAAAATCCGAATCTTGTTCTTTATGCTGAGGCGGAGTGCAGTGCAGAAGACTTACAAACTGGTTTCAGGTTGATGAAGGCGTGAATATCTTGCCTTTCAGATTCTGGCTTACTGGCTTTGAAATGTTTATCCCTTCCGACTGCCTGTAGTTGAAACGATGCTGGCTTCGTGGATAAGTGAAAGTAGGAAGTAACCACTGTTAAATCACTCCCGTTGGTGCTGGTTGTTGTTGTTGATGCTGCCTCTCTGGTTGGCGGGTTATCTTCATCACCTCCGTCTTCTCTAGGTTCACCTGGAGTCCTGTCTTCTCTGCACACTTCTTTAGCCAGTTTGTTGGGTTTCGCCTGCCTGTAAGTCTTCGAGTCTGTGTGACATTAGACATATATCATCCACGCGCGAAATCCAGATCTTCTAGAGTTTCCTAATCGGTCGTCCAGCGTATTCCTGACTCCTCGCCACCAAGCACAGTCTGATGCATAATCCAGTCCACCACAACTAAGAATATCATCGTAGGTGATAATAGGCAGGCAGACAGATTTTCCTACTCCTGTATTCACTTCGAACGCCTCACTGAGCTATTCCATTGTGAGTCACCTGACACGTGACAGACATTGTCATATAGCCAGATAGTGAATGAGCGTAGTAAAGATTTGAGCACCGCACGCAATAGTGTTGAATTAATTTCCGAATTATTCGTGGTCAACGCTGTCTGTCAAAGGCCATTTCAAAGTCGATGAATTTGAGGTAGACTGGGAGTCGATTGCCATTCTATGCTTTGTTCTGTGATGACGATGCATAGCGTTGCAGTTTGATCAGCACATGATTCGCCTTCCTTAATACAGCTTGTCCAGTCGGTATGGCGGAGTCCTGTATCCAGTGCATCTTTTATTCTCTTCAGAATGAGGCGACTTAGTATTTTACTTGGCGTGGACAAAAGCATTATTTCATGCCGGTTTTTGCAGAAGTCTAACTAGGTCGCCCTTTCATCCAATCGGTAGGTACCTTTCCCTCCCTCCAAACATTTTGCAATAATGGCGTGAGAACATCTGCCGCAGTCTGTTGGTCCGTTTTCAGTGCTTCGGGGGGGGGGAGCGGTGATTTCATTGTGTCCCTGCTGCCTTCTTGCCTGACCTTCAGTAGCTTAATCGCATTTAGGATTTCTGCTTTCGTTGGGGTATTGGTGTCCACTGGCAGGCAGTTGTATGCGTGCTATTGTTGGTGGTGTATTTCTGAGTGAGTTGCAGGTGATAGTCGATTAAAGAGTCCTTCGTAGTGATCAGCCCATTTTTTTGTTTGTTCTTCCCTCTTGGTAATTAGCTTCCCTTGAATATCGTTTGCAGGTTTCCTCTGCGGCACGTACCATAGCTTTATTCAAATTAAAGTTTAGAAATAAAGCCAGTATTTTTACTATCATCATTCACTCTGTCAAACCTCACGATTTCTAGTTGACTGTTTCAGGAAAATGATTATACACTTAAGCAAATTAGTTGGTTGCATATTCCATTGTGTTTAAACATGTGTCTATCAATCGAAAGTGACTATAACCAGCTAAAAGAGGCTTAGACAGGATTAAACCACAATGAAAAATCAAACCATTTGGTTGAGGTTAGATATTTTCTACGAGGCAACTTAGAAGCTTCAGCTTATGTAACAGGTACAATTGGTTATTCGTTAGCCTAACTTTTTTGATGTACATATGATTTGCATATAATGTACTTTTGTATAATAAAGTTGAATTGTTTTGTCAGTATTTTCCTGGGCTAAAGCGGAGGGGCCGACTCGATTAGTAATCCACATCTGATCTTCAATCTAGTTGTACTAGTATTATTGTGTTATCACCTGCGTAAGAGTTACCAGAAGTGTCAGTCATAGTCACAATTGGATCGGACTACTGGCAATAAATTGTGCTTCAAATATCATCAGGCGAGGATCGGAAAAGCAAGGCAAGCTTTCACTACTCTCAAGTCTGTGTGGAGGTCAATAGGACTCAGAATGAAAAATAAGATCCGGATTTTCAACTCCAATGTGAAGTCAGTGCCACTTTATGGACCAGAGACTTGGCGCGCCATGAAGAGCACTTCGAAAAAACTACAGTCCTTAATCAACAGCTGTCTTCGCTCAGTACTACTCAAGATCAGATGGTCGGCCAGAAAAGATCAGCAACAGGGATCTGTGGCAATGAGCGAACCAACGCAGCAGGAACCGATAGTGCAATAAATATGCAGGAAGAAATGGAGGTGGATTGGACATACTCTGAGAAAACGAATCATCCAGTGACATCAAACGACAGGCCATCTCTCGAGTGTAACCCGAATGGAAAGCGGCGAGTTGGTCGCCAGCGCGAGAGTGACATGGAGGAGGTCATGTGAAGAGGAAATGAAAGCATGTAGGCAGACGTGGAGCCAGGTGAAAATCTTGGCAGAGAACCGAACGCAATGGAGATGTGCGGCTGAAGCCCAATGTTCCTTTAGGAACTGAAGGAAACAATAATAATAATGCAGACTAAAGAAATTGCCTACAGTATACTAGAGAATCCATATTTGTATCCCTGCGTTATACCAAATAAACTTATCTAATATGCAATCATATTCTACCACAATGCCCAAATTTTAGTTACACTTTAGATTCCTATTTATTGAATATTTCTTTTTTTACGTTAAATACATTTGTCGGATAATGAACCTGCCACTGTAAACAACTCTTATCCTTTGCATTTATATCATGAATATTTGACCGATTCTAACTAAACACCAGAATCGATATTTTTAAGAAATTACAATCTGAAACATTAGTTGATTCCTGCAGCTAGTGTCATTTATCACAATGCACAGTTTGATTCCAATCATACATCTGATTTTACCTGAAAATTACTATGCATTTTTTATACACTTAGGAGGATCTCATTTTAGTGAGTTACTGAGCATAGTCTGTATCTTCAAAGAGGAGATAGTTACATATTTGTGAATTGAAAATTATACAGCCAGAATCACACAAAGAAGTAATCCAAGGACAGTTAAGTCACAAGTTGACCACACTACCATTCAGCCGCAGACTGAAAGTACAGCGGCTCTACACTTAAAACTTACATAACTTCCTCACAGATCTAATAGATGGCTGTTGTTTCTCGAGAAGTTAATTTGATTTTTTTTTCTACTGCCTTAAACACGTGAATAAAGCTGAATATATAGATTCTTAATGACAAAAAGTAGTGCAACAGTGTCTGCATTTTGCATGTTAGGAGCCTACAGCATATGTGATCGATAAAAAATCAGTCAAAACGTGAAGTATTTCTTACCACCTGATGCGCAAATCACATTAAAATTTATATTATTGTCCTGTGACTGGTTTCTGTATACAATCACATATTGGAGTCGAGTTGACTGTGGTCTGATATGACCATTGTGTGAATTCTCAAATGAAGATATACTGACTCAGGGTAGTGAACACTTCATATTAGTACCTGTCGAGATGCACAAAACCAAATCCAATCGAGGATTTGTGTAATATGAAACTACAACCCAGCAGTGTTTAAAAAAATGAACATGATAAGCAAACCTGTAATTGTAACTATTTTTTGCGATCAATTGCACACCTTCGATTAAATCACACCGCAATGTACCTATCTTATGCATGGTGTGCATAGAGAATAGGATTAAACAAAGAATGCTTCATTTAACTAGAACGTAAGATCACAATTATTGTTCTGTTATCTATTATACACTTCTCAATGCATACAAAATTCAGAATTATTTTATCAACATGTGATTCAACATTCCAAATTGTATAGCATACTTTTCAGTTTTAGATTACACTTCTAAAGACCAAATCGTTTGAAGTATGCAAGCCAATAAAGAAATTTTCCACCTCGAAATTAGTCAAATTCACAGAGATTTAACATTTTAATGACAGTTATTTATTTATTTTAATTTTATTATAGCTTGATTCCACACAGTATTTTGGCACAAGTATGGAATTTTCAGCATGTGATTTCGGTAGCCCAAATTTAGCAGGCTGACCATAGATATCAGGTGTGCGTCGGCTGGGGATCGAACCTCGGACCATGTGCATGATCGGCGAGAGTCCTAACCGCTGTGCCACCGAATTCCCATTAACATATTTAGAGAAAAAAAACAGATTCAGTGAAGAAATATATTCCTTTTCAATTAGTTCTTCATCATCGGCTGGCTGTACCAAGGACTGAGTACATGAATTAAAGTTCAATACTCAGAAACTGAAGGATAAAACTACAAAAGACATACTCACTCCAACTAACAGGGCAAGATCAGAGACATTACGATCTACAACACACTGAATAAAGAGGTGAGAGGTTCTC